CCATGAGGAGTGGTTCTAGTTCGAAATTTCGGGCTAGATATTAAGATGCTTTGAAGCATACTAAACTCCCATTTAGTTGCTCAGCTCAGGATTACTACAGCAGCTCTCTGTGCTCATGAGTCAGGCAGTGAAGGAGCTCTGCCTTAGATCCTGGTGGGTTGAGAAGTCATGGCCAATACTTACAATAAACTTAGCTTGTGTGGAGGGAAACCAAAAGATACTCAGAATGACCAACTTGCATGCTTCTGCAAGGCTGAGTCACATCTGACAAGTTAAGGAATGGGAACACTGACTAGAAATAACAATGTCTATTTGGTTTCCCCAAACTTTATGAAACCCCCTCTGCTACTACCAGTCACCAGAAAGAGGGTACAGAACAATGAGACTGAAAGAGGTCAATGCAGCCTGCAAAAATGAGATTGTGTGTTCATGGGGGCATTCTTCAGAAGAGAGCATTCTAGATCCTGCTCTGGCTCAAGTGCTACTAAGAACGTGACGTGCCATATGACATCACAAGCAGCACACACAGCAAGTTGGATTTTAGAGAACCCTCAAGACCAAGGCAAAGTATTTATCTCAGGCCAAATGAGAAACAGCTGCCCTTCTCAGCATTAGGAGTCTGAAGGTAGTTAAAGGTTGCTCTGTTCCTGGCTAAGGCAGAAGCTGTTTGAAGCTGTAAAAGTTTAGGGCTGCTATTTCCTTTCTATGCCAGATTATGGGTCATGGAGCAGCTGTTGTTATTTAAGTGTATGAAATGGGGCCGGAGAAAGTCACGGAGGAGCCTGAAGGCAGATTGCTGTAAGAGAAATGGGCAGACTGGACAGACTTAGGGTCCCAGTGAAAGGCAAAGGGTGGGCAGTGCTCTAGAGGTGTGAATGCAGGTGTAGCAAGAATGCAGAGGAAGTATTGCATCAGCAGAATAGGTCTGCATTCGCTGCTGGTGGGACATCTGACACACTTGGTCTTGGGGAAGGACGTTGCTCCCAATAGGAACTGGAGGTGAAAATAGGTAACCCTGGGTATCCACAGCCCTGGTGCAAACATACCACACACACACACACACACACACACACACGCAAAAGACTGACAAAAGACTTCCCATAGACAGAAGACACTTAGACTTTAATACATACAGACACAGTACATGATGACGTTACAGTTCAACACAAGCATTTCTTTCCCCTCCAAAACGGCACAGGGAACTGAATTTTGAATTTTTCATATCAGTGTTGAATGTCAGTCAGGCACATCGAGCTGTAGGACACAGTAATCACACCAGACAAAATAGGAAACAAGGTTTTTTTGCAGACAGATCACTGGGACAACTGGCTGTGGAAAGAAACTCACTGCATGTTCATGCCTGCTCATTCAGCTTTTGAAGAAAGAAAACCTACAATGACTGTCAGCCAAATACAGTGACACTGCTCCCTGCTGGCTGGGACAATTCTTTTCCCTGGAGAGAGGCATCCATCCAGTCTAGAAAAAGCCACGAAGCTAGGAAGTCTCTCTGGTGAAACGTCGTGGTTAATTTGTAAGTCTACAACTGTACCTCACGGTGTCTCACTAATAAAAAAAAGTGTCGTGGTTAAAATATTACTAGCAGAAGCCTAGTCGCTATTTATTTATTTATTTATTTATTTGTTTTGTTTGGGGGCCACATCTGTGGATGCTTGGAGGTTATTCCTGGTTTGTGGGAAGCCAGGCACCAAACCCAAGTCAGCCACGTTCAAGGTAAGGGCCTTACTTCTGTGCTGTCAGTCAGGCCCCAAAATATTGAAATTATCCTAATTAATTTAGCCATGCTCCAAGCTATTGGGCATTTGTTTCTGCCCTAGCAATGACCTCAGCTGGAACCATGTTACCCTGGAAGTTAAGCTAGCCAAGAGCAGAGCATTTCCTTCCTCGAAGCCCAGGTGGAATTGGGCCTGCCTTGTGATTGTCTTAAGATCTCCATGAAGACACAGGCATGGAAACTGGAATGTTGTACCAGCAGCTTCTGATCCTCAGAACTTACTCAGACTTTTCAGGTGCACCATCCGTGGAAGGGAGGAAGCTTCGGACTTCTCTAAAGCCCAGGAATTCCAGACAGAGGAATGCAACATCACATGTGTTTGGAGTTTCTCAGTCTTCAGTCTCTGTTATCACAAATCTAAATGAGACACATTCCCCTGTAGGAAGGAACTTTCAGCCCAATTCTGCAATCAAACCAAAGGTTCTAGATTCCAGTGACCAGTAGTCGTGGTACATTTTTGTTCTGTTGTTGAAAATGTGTTGTGGTGGGTGGTGCTTATGGCTGGTAGTTCTGTACTGAGATATTCAACGTCTTTCTTTTTTCCCCTAACTGGAGACACCCCTTGGGTCTGTTGGCTGATTGGGTCTGGACATCATCTTCTATCTCTGAGGTTTGTGCTCTAGTTGCCAGGATGACCATCATCTTCTAAATCTCCAGACACAGAAGCAACTCACTGGAAATCAAAGCCAGGCACTCAAACTGTAGATGCTGTTGGCTTCTGACCCAGTTAGAACCAGGTGGGCAGCATAGATATGATGAGCCCATGAGTCCCTTCCCTGTGGAGATGCTGTAACATCACTGCCTTATGTTTAATGCTTCACCCAGTATCTCCTTTGGGATCATACAAGAACATAGCCAGAGAAGGAGCCAGGTACTGGGGCATATAAGATCCCAGCACATTAGCTATGGGTCTAAACAAGCCCCAGGCTGGAACAGAGATTGGTCATTTCTTATCACAGCTCTTTTCAACCCACCCCCCTCTTCGTGAAACTGAATCAGGGCAACTATTAGCTAAGAACTTACAGCTTCTGGAGAAAACAAAATTGCATGGAAAATATGTGGTATATGTAGTGAAGAGGAGTTAAATGAAATAAAAGATCTGGCTTTTAATTCTTTTTTTTCTTTTTGGGTCACACCTGGCACTGCACAGTGGTTAATCCTGGCTCATGCACTCAGGAATTACTCCTGGCAGTGCTCAGGGGACCATATGGGATACTGGAAATCGAAGCAGGGTCTGCCACGTGCAAGGCAAATGCCCTGCCCACTGTGCTATCACTCTAGCCCCCTGGCTTTTAATTTTTAAGAAAAAAAAAGAGTTTCTCTTCCAGTAGAGAGATGAATCATTTCAAAACAAAATTTGGGCATAATAGGTCCGTGAGGAGAAAATGTGGACACTGAATTAAAATCTAGCCCTGGCTTTGTGTGGGTGTAGCTGCCCAATGTGACCTCTAGAATCTGCAACAGACGGTGTCTCTGTTACTTCTCCTGATTTCTGTCTGTTTGGTTTCCCAATGAATGACTGCCAGCTTGTCCCCATACTGTCATCTCTGCATACCCAAAAGTCTTATCAGTAGAAGATTTTGGAATCCCAGTGGCCTGAGGTGAAAACTGTCCCCAGAGGCCTCTACACTTCTTGACTCTGTGAGTTACCTCCTCTGGGGAGGCCTCTGTGTCTGGAGGGTGGGGTTACATCCCACACATCCCGCACATCACTGTAGGCGAATTAAACTGTGTTTGGCAAGTATAAGGGAAAAGAGTGATACTGCAATCATTTTTCCAGTTACTGGCAATTCAGTCCTTTCTCCCTCGTCCCCCTCCCCCCTGCCCCGGCCCCAGTCCTTGAGTAAGAACAAGAGAACAGGGTGGGGATGATACTACACTTGCCTAGGGAGTCTCCATGTACTCTGATTTCTCACATATGTGGGCATGCCCCGGTGGGTGATAGGCTTAATTCACTTCATAAAGGCATTTATAATTTGGCCAACAGTTTAGACCTTCTGAAGTTAGCCGAAGATGAGAACAAAATATAAGAGTCAGAAAGAAAATCTGAACAAACCCCAAATGGTGATTTGTGCCACGATCAGAGGGTGACTGACTGGGCATCAGCTTTGGCAGGTGTAGGTACCTTTGTCACTGTTTTCTAAACTCCTGGCACACTCTCATTTACTCTGTAACCCCTGTATAAGGTACAGTTGCTCTATACTGCAGGGTGGATTTGTCTAGATAGTGACAATATTCTTTTCTGATTCTCTCCAGCCTCTGATAATATTAAGGGAATGAATCAGCTCAAGGAATTTGTTTACTAAAAGAAGACTGGCTGGCTAAGAAATATTTAACAATTTGCTTGCTGGAGAAAGAACAATAGAAAAAAGGTCCTGACTTGTAGCATTTGCCAATTTTCATGGTGTAAATCTTCCCATGGGCTGGAGCGATAGCACAGTGGGTAGGGGTTTGCCTTGCATGCGCCCGACCAGGGAAATCCAGGTTCAATTCTTCCGCCCCTCTCGGAGAGCCCAGCAAGCAACTGAGAGTATCTTGCCTGCACGGCAAAGCCTGGCAAAATATCCATGACATATTCAAGATGCCAAACACAGTAACAACAAGTATCACAATGGAGATGTTACTGGGCCTGCTCAAGCAAATCGATGAACAGTGACAGTTCAACAGGGAGGTTCAACAGGGAGGACAGTGACAGTGACAGTGACAGTGAAATCTTCCCATGATCTCCAATTTCTGTTTCCATACCTTATATCCCTGAAGGTGCTGGACAAACTCCTATTTACTGACATGAGAGGTGATGGGGTATACCCTCCCAAGGTTCCCACCAGGAGCCCTTGCAAACTGATACTACACCAGTTAGGATCACATGTGTCTTTTCCAGGTGGAAGCCTTTACTCCTTTTCAGCAGAGCTGAGGAGTTCCAATCCCTTTATGATATTTTCTAGTTCTGAAGAGCCTAACCCACATATGCCCATTTCTTGCAGTGTAATTAAAAGTGCAAAAATATATCACAACCAAGTCTTCCTATTAAAATAAAAGTTAAACCTGCTTAGAGTAACAGAATGGTGGAAGTAGAAAAAAAAGCAAGTATCACTCATCTAGGATAGCCCTCTCATGTGAATGGAGAAGCTGAAGCAGAGGGAAGATCTGGTTAAGTGACCTGGTCAAGGTCACAGAGCAGTGAAACTAAAGCCCAAGAGTCCAGAGACCCTCTCTGCCATGTCCTGTTGACTCCTTCTGAAGATGCTCATGTGGATTCCCAAGGCAGCTGAGGAGTGGAGAGACAAGCAGGTCTGTCAGCCTTTCCCGGATGTAGAGAATGAAAGTGGCTGACCTGGGGGAAAGGATGTCCAGAAAGATGCAGAGGGTGTCCTGTCCATCACAGGTTGTTATTCTGCCCATCCTCTCCTTGTGAGCCTTTGGTTTGTTCCGAGGTTAGGTCTGCTGCTCTTTTATTAAAGTCTTTTTTTACTCTTGTGGGGGAAAAAAAAAGTGAGTGATTGGTTTTAGTTTTGGTTTTGTTTTGTGTGTGGTGGGGGTGGGGGGTGGCAGCACACCCAGTGGTACTCAGGACCTACTCTTAGCTTTGTGCTCAAGAATCACTCCTGGATTCCTCCACAGCTTGGAAGTTGGCCTCACATGTGGGAGGGAGAAGGCAGATGAGATAGAGAAGGGACCACCAAGCAAAGGATGCTTGGAGGGCTCACTCGAAATGGGAGATGCGTGTTGAAAGTAGACTATAGGCCAAACATGATGGCCACTTAATACCTGTATTGCAAACCATAACATCCAAAAGGAGAGAATAAAAGGGAATGTGCCTTCTACAAAGGCGGGGGCGGGGGGAGGCAGATACTGGGAACATTGGTGGTAGAGAATGGGCACTGGTGGAGGGATGGGTACTTGACCATTGTATGACAGAAACGTAATCAAATGAAATGAAATGAAAGTTTATAAATCTGTAACTGTATCTCACGGTGTTTCATTAAAAAATTGAAAAATAAAAAAAAGAGAAAAAAGAATCACTCCTGGTGGACTTGGGGGATTGGGATTATATGGGATATCAGTATCAAACCCAGGTAAGCTGAGTGCAAGGAAAATGCCCTACCCATTGTACCATCACTCTGGCCCATGAGTAATATTCATTGGGAAGAAAAGATCAGCTTTCAAAATGAAAGCATTAGTCTCATAATTTATAGAAACACAAGTCAGGGAATTGTCTTTAAATAAATGTTGAGGTGCCAACTCCTTTGCCCTTCCATAAGGGGACACTTGATGCCAAGGTAACTTAGTACAGTTGTTGAAATCTTGACAAAATAAAAAGGTGTCTCCCTTTTATAGATCTTCTATGCTTAATGTTCATCATTTTACTAATTGGAAATAATGAAAGACATTTTAAAACATTGAAGACTTGGAAGATAAAGTCTGGGTAAAATATCCACCATTAGCTGAGTTGCTATTCTTCCAAGAGGTAATTTACCTTTCTCTGTTGAAAATGATGAACTCTTTCTGGACAGATTCCAGGTGTTCTTGGAGAAGGCACATCTTCCAGGTAAACAATGAGGGAAAAGAAAGAGTGTGGTTAGCAGAAGAGCAAAGTTCTTCAAACAGCCAGAAACCACCTCTTAAGTATCTGCTGAAAGGAAGTAATGTACCTTCAGTTTGATTCTATCACAAAGTTTATGACAGGACTGAGACCTCCACCAGAATAACAGGAGATGACAAAAAAAAAAGAAAGAAACAAAAGGAGGCGAAGCCAAGCGAAGCTGCTTTAACCAATAATAAGCCAGTAAGGAAGGCCTGGCTTATGGGTTATGAGCTCTGGCTTCTGACATTTAACCCAAGAAGAAATCATAACCACACATAGACCATATTCTCGGTTAAAATTAAGTAGAGGCAGGGATTACTTTGCTGGTTAGCTGGTGACCTTCCTGCCCTTCACCTCTTAACACTCCTGTGAAAGGGAGGTTCTACTTGGATGTGATGAAGAACCTAGAAATATCTTTCCACACTGAACTCTGGTAAGATGTTTCCTTCAACAATTTAGGGAGGATGAATCCTGCCTCAATTATAGTAGGCGGAGGCATTTTATTTCTGCCTTTTCCACACACATGCGAAAACATTTGCTTTGACGTGGCACTATTCAGTTCTTAATGTAATTCCATCATAGTGAGAAAATTTAGTTCATTAACTGGTATCAACTCTAAAACTGTAGAAAAGCTCCTAACACAAATTATCTCTCCGTCTTGGCCAGTTTTCCTCAACAGGTATACAGAAATAGCAAGTACGAGGATGCTATTAGGTTGAGTTATAAAGCAGACTGGATCTAAAGGGATATTCACAATAACCTCCCAAGACCTATATGGCAAACCATAATTCCCCTAAGGAAAGAGAGTGAGTGAGAGAGAGACAAAGAAGAAAAGTGTCTGCCATAGAGGCAGGCTGGGGCGGAACTGGGGAGTGGCAGTTGGGGAGGGTGGCAGGAGGGAAACTGGGGGCATGGGTAGTGGGAAATGTACACTGGTGAAGGGGTAGGTATTGGTACAGTATAGACTGAAATCCAATCATGAACAACCTTGTCACAACTGTGTATCTCATGTTGATAAAATAAATTTTTTTAAAAAAATACCCTGATAACTATGAGAAAGATGAATTAAATGAAAAGAAACTGGCAAGGTGGATTTGTGGCAGAGCAATCATTTGCCACTGGACCCTAGAAAAAATGATAGATGGAATCTGGCAAGAGTACAGTTCTATAATAAAACAGAATATAGACTTGGGGTCCCCGATCTTAGAAAGATATAGTGGTCCCAGAGGAGGATGAAAAGGAAGGGCACAGAGGATACTTATGTACTTGCTGGAACAGCTGCCCACACCACAAGATGATACAATCTTTGAGGAGTGAGGTGTTTATTCAGGAATCGTATCTCAGGAACCTGCCTACCTGAGTGGAATCACATTTCCTCATCTCCTTCTCCTTCTTTGCCAGGCGTTTCTTCTTTTTATGAAGGGGTTTGGACTCCAAAATCATTTCTTCAAGTTCAAAGGTGGGGTCACAATTCAGCCTGCCTTTCTGCAAGGGAGACAGGTCGGTTGACTCCGAGAATCCTTCTATGCTTATGTTCAGTTACCAAGAGCCCAACAAACACAAACACTGTCCTCCCATTGTTCATCGATTTGCTCAAGCGGGCCCAGTAACGTCTCCATTGTGAGACTTCTTGTTACTGTGTTTGGCATATTGAATACTCTTGGTAGCTTGCCAGGATCCCCGAGAGGGGTGGAGGAATCGAACCTGGCTCGGCCGGGCTGGCTGCACGCAAGGCAAACACCCTACTGCTGTGCTATTACTCCAGCCCAACGGCTACATGAAAAAGCGCTCCCCATCCTGACAGAACTGACCCCCACCAACAAGAAAGAATTCCCACCCTAAGTTTTAGATCATTTATCAAGCATTGCTTTTCATATTCTGTGATGTGTTATTTTCCTAAACTCTCCACCAAGTTTTCTGTGAGATAGGAAGTAAATCTAAAGACATTCAGTTTTCTAAAGTTTGAACTTGATGACGATGTTTCAGAATGTCTTTGAATCACCCAAATGGTTTGCTCAAATCCTCGTTTTTCCCAGCCAGACCTCTCAAATCAATGTTTTTGATGGATTGTCCCCAAACTGTGCTTTGGACATGCTCCCCAGTGTTTCCATTCATAATTCAGCAGAGACCCAGATATAGAGCTACTCTTGCAGCAACACTGGTGGCTGGTTGCAGATGAGGGGTGGGGGGCACTAGAAGGAGATGAAACATGGCAGGTGGTAGGTGTTTCCTCCTCCTCCCCCAAGAGCATCACAGACCCTTGCCTACATCCTGCCCTTCTGGAACTCTGCCAAAGGACCAGGAACGACCTTGACCCCAGCCTCTTCGTTGCTCCATGAAAGAGTGCTGTCCACTTGAATTCCATAGAAGCCCTCCATTCCCCTTCTCAGGTATGTTCCCATGAGCCTACTCCTCTGATATTCACTCACACAGGACTCTACCCATTCACACACACAGAAATCAAACACCTACTTTTGGCTTAAACACAGAAAACAAAATTTTAAGTTGTTTTTAATAGGATCTTCAAAGCCTTCTTAATTTTTACCCAACATGCCTACCACTGAATATGTAGAATTAAGCTGTGCAAGACAAAAGGAACTTGAGTTCTCAGCGGGGTCCTTGACTTAAGCTTCTGGTCTTTGTCAGAAGCCTGCAGTAGGACACATGAGCCTGTGACCAGGAACTCATCTGTAGGCATTGGCTCCTTCTGCTGTCAGTCATTACAAATAAAGACCCTAGCATGAAATGATCCAAGGAGAAGGGGGCTGATTAAACTACCATGACCACACTCTCATAGTTCCCAGCCTTTTGAATCCAGAGAACATAGATATAATTTCTCCATATTCACAATCAAAGAAAATGTTTTCTTTCTCCAGGAATGTGCTCATTATTTAGAGGGCTAGGGTCTCTTTCCAATAAAGCTTGCTTTAAGAAGTCACTAGGAGCTAGACTCCAGATGCAGGCAGATCCGCATTCAAATACCACCTGAGTACTTACTAGGTGAGTAACTTTTGGTAAGCAACTTTCCTGTGTGTACCTTGTCACCTTGTCACCCATAAAAAGGGAGTTTGAGCACTTTCAGCTCCAGACTGATTATCTGAGACCACACACCAGTTTACCTGACACACACACACACACACACACACACACACAAACACACACACACACACACACACACACCAGTTTTTGTCAAATGAGAGTTGTGATGCATTGGTTAGGGTTGACTCACGTTAGGGATAAAGCCTGGAACAAGCTTCTTCTGCAAAACTGCATCCCAGTTCATGTCATTCATATAGGGGAAGTTCTGAATATCAGACAAGTGAGCAAACCGTTGGTCCGGATTAGGTTCAAGTAGCTGCCAGTGGAATATAAACATAAAGACGGGGAAGAGATCAAAATATGGGAAAATACAGGGAAAAAAATCACAAGAATTTCAAATGTTGAAGGAAACAAGGCAGTGTGCCCCTAGCCCAACTACATAAATAACTTATGTTGAACAAGTAAGCATAAGCCATATCAATGGTGCATGGTGAGAATGAATCATATATAGGTTCTGTGGTATAGCATGTGAAACCAGTTTGCAAGATTGAGTCAAACCTGTCTGTGATTCCTGATACAACTACTAGTTAAGGCAAGTCTGCTTGCTAACAGATTTATGCACCTGTTAAAAAGGGGATAACAACTTATTTCATAAGGTTTCAGTGACACTGTATGTATGAAAAGAGAAACTGCAGTTGTTAGGAGATGTGGTTCATTTTCACAAATGAAACTCATCTCCCACTAAGATTCTGCCTTAATCACTAATCCAATTATATTGTGCCACAGCAAATAAGAGACAAAGATTTCATTTAAAGGTATGAAGTTTACCAGCTAGAATGAAGATTTTTTTTAAAAAAAAATCCCTATGTAGTTACTCTGGAACTAAAATTCATCAATCTCAGGCTCAGATATCAGTCCTAAAAAGCTCCAGGCACTCACAATCAGGAGACAGGGCATACAGTTTTGGGGTAAAAAGGACTGTCTTGGAACTGAGGAAATATTACAAAAAAATGACCTTCCGGTCTTTTTTTTTTTTTTTTGGCTTTTTGGGTCACACCCGACAATACTCAGGGATTGCTCCTGGCTCTGCACTCAGGAATTAGTCCTGTCAGTGCTCAGGGGACCATATGTGGATGCTGGAATTGAACCCGGGCTGGCCTAGTGTAAGGTAAACACCCTCCCCGCTGGGCTATCACTCCAGCACCAATTTTTTTTTTTTTTTTGCTTCTCAGGTCACACCCAACAGTGCACAGGGGATACTCCAGCTCTGCACTCAGGAATTACTCCTGGTCGTGTTCAGGGGGCCATATGGGACCGTTCTTCCTTTGACGTTACTCATATCCTTATTACCAAACAGGAAGTTGACCCCAAAGATAAGACACAGTTTGGGCTCTTAGCATCCAATAGTTTTCTTGATTAGTTACAAAATGTGCTTTGATCTTTGAAAGGAACCAAGCTCCATTACATGGGCAGCTCATTCTTTCACAGGATCATTCAATATATACCACTGAGTGCCCGAGTGCCTCAGTAAGGACACCTTTACAACTGATGAAAGTTATGGACTTCCTTTGTTTAAATACCATATTTTTTTATAATGAAGAGGCCACGTTGAACAAGCCAGGCATGATCCCTGCCTCATGTGGCTTATAGACAGTGAACATAATTCAAGGACCACATACACATATGATACAGGGTTCCACTTTGTGACAAATGCCACGAAGGAAAGACTGAACTATGTGGATATACAGCAGATGAAGACTCCCCAAGGAAGGGCTGGTTGAGCTGGGATCTAATGGTATCTTTCTCAAACTACCTGTGTAGAAGCTATGATTTCTGTTTATAGTTCAGTGGTTTTAATTCCCCATTCTCCACTGAAACTAATATTTGGTGCTACTGTGCACGGCTGGTGAGTAGCAGTACATCATGTGCTATTATATTTGAGTTTCATATCCAAATGGGGTTCACCATGATCCATGAATATGTTAACTGTGTGATTGGTTAGAGGCACTAACTACTATAAAAGTTTCTAAATCAGTTTCTTCACTTGTCACGGGACCTCTAAGATTCACAGACTCAAAACAGTAGTCAATGAATCATGTTAAGTAGTGCTGATCCAAAAGAAGGCACTGGAATAAGGACAAGCATGTGAAACAAGGAATAGTGATTCAGAACCAGTATATGCAAAGGCCCTGTGGTGAGAGACTGAGAGGTGAGTGTAGACGGTAAAGGAAAATGAGACAAGGAAAGGGTCACAGCAATTTATGAAAATCAAGAGGAGAACAAAAGTCCAAAATAAAGCTTGATAGCTTGATACCACAAACTTATTTTATTCTTTATTCTGTGAACAATGGGAAGATAATGAACTTTTCTTTGAACAGATTATTATGGGGAGAGAAAACAGAAAACAGAATAAAATCATAAAAGTAGGAGTGAAATCAGTTGTAAGGTAAGCCTTATCAATAATAAGTTGATTGTGGACAGAAGAATAGAGATGGAAAGAAGTGACAGATTCAAAAGATATTTAAAGGCCCAATTACTGAGCAGTTAGATGGGACATGGAATGATGGGTGATTTTTGGCTACCTAAGTGGATTAAGAAGAGCCTCATTACTGAAAGAGAGCATCTCAGTAAAAGTCCACCCTCTTACCTTTCTAAGAAGTGACACCATTTCCTGTGACCAGGATGAAGGATAAGTCACAATAGCCGTCTCAAACATGTGTGCAATTTCCTTGCTGGAAGTACTGGAGCGAATGTGATACGGTCTCTTAAGGGAGAGAAGTGAGAAGTAAGTCTTCATTCTTACTGGATATAAAGAAAGTACTTTTGTGTTCCTGAGGTAAATTTGAGCCAGCTAAATATCAGCTTGACACAGGATGGTTGTGTTGTTACATGGGTAGATGATATGGTGGTCCATATTTGTTTTAAAGAATAACAAACATATGTAGTTTAAAATACCAAATACAGATTAAAATAGAAAAGTTGATCATTCATCTAGGCCAAAACAACACATTTCTGAGAAATCAACATGAAACTGTGTCCTAGGTAAAAGATAAAGGTAAAGGCCCTCCCGTTGATCGTCGATTTGCTCGAGCGGGCCCAGTAACGTCTCCATTGGAGACTTTGTTGTTACTGTGTCTGGCATATCGAATATTCTCGGTAGCTTGCCGGGCTCTCCGAGAGGGGCGGAGGAATCGAACTCGGGTCGGCCATGTTGGCCGCTTGTAAGGTGAACGCCCTACCGCTGTGCTAGCGCTCGTCCTAAGATGATCTAATTACATAAAATGCTGTATATTTTCTTAGTAAATATAAGTTTAAATGCTGATTATAAAGCAACCCATTGTCTTATTTCTTTATACATATATAGCTTATATCACTGTCCTCCCGTTGTTCATCGATTTGTTCGAGCGGGCCCAGTAACGTGTCCATTGGAGACTTTGTTGTTACTGTGTTTGGCATATTGAATACATCACGGGTAGCTTGTCAGACTCTGCCGTGAGGGCAAGATATTCTTGGTAGCTTGCCAGGCTCTCCGAGAGGGGCGGAGGAATCGAACTCAGGTCGGCCATGTTGACTGCGTGCAAGGCAAATGCCCTACCGTTGTGCTATCGCTCCAGCCCATAGCTTATATATATATACAGATATATATCTTTTTACTAATTTGAACCATAATAAATAAGTTCAGAATAGAAAGAGTCCTACAAAATTTTTATTTCAATTATTAACTAGTATAAGATCAGGGTTTTACAGAGTGGCTAGTGAAGAGTATAATGAAACAGAAGTATTTCAGTTTTTTGAAAGAACCAGTATTTTGGGGGATGCGAAAGCTGTCCTTAATTTTCTCAGCTTTCCACCAGAGGGCAGCCACTGCCCATATTAATTTCTCTAGGAATCTGATTTCTCTGAATTTTAAAATTTTTTCTATGACTTTTTAAAAAGAGAATCTTTAAAGACAGGATTTTCTGTCTTTTATGTGATCTTTTGACTGCGTAAATCCAAGCATTAGACCACATTCACATTTTCATTTGTGGAACATAGCACATTCTCACATGTCCATTGAATAAACAAAATATCCTAATTAAATTAACCCAAAAGACAGCTAATTTAGATATATATGCATTCATCCTATGTATGCCTCTATTGAGATACTAAATAAATGTGAGCTAATCAACTAAATTGAAAGTAATGGAAAGTTTGATTTTTCCCCTGTTGCAAATCACAACTAAAAGGTAATATGATGAGATTAAATGTTTTGTATTCTGAAGGCAAAAGAATTTGAGGGCTTAACTAAATCATTCAATTTGAGTGACAATTTTATCTCCATCTCTAAAATGAAGCAACTACATCTGAAAAGTGAACGACTCATGAGATTGTTTAAAACAAATGAAGGAGTGTACCATGCATAGAGTTATCCATAGAACAACGAATACATACAGGAAAAATACTTTTTTTAATTATTGAAGAGGGGGAGGATGGAAGGATATAAAATTCAACAGTGAGCAGAAAACTAAACTTCAATCAAGGGATCTGTAGAAAGGCTTAGCTCTCCCCAGTGTATGTCAAGGTCAGTAACTCAGGATACTACCACTAGGGGGTGGGGAGGGGCTGACCCCCTTAAAAGAGGAGACTGGTCAAATATGATTTTTTGTGTAAGTTCAAAAAATAACCACCATTTATTTTCTTCCCTCAAAATTGAATAAAGTGTCACTAATACATTTGTCTCGGTCTGAGCAGCTTTCAACTCAGGTGTTGGAGTGTCAGGAAAGAAGAGCTAGTCCCTTATCTTCAAATTCAATGCTGGCTATTTACGGTGCAAGGACACGGAGGACCACTCCAGGCCTGCATCCCAGCTGCGTCCCATATGTCCATCGTACGGGGGCAGGTCAGGCCACTTCAGACTCCCAGCACTGTATAGATGTGTGCTATTTTCTTTCTTCTGATTCCTTCTCCCTTCAGCTCATGGATGCTCCTAACCCTAGTTTCTAGGGCATTACAAAATATAAAATGATTACAAGCTTGTGTAAATTTACTAAGGGGTATCTCAGGCCTATCAGGTGTTTTGCAATTATTTTAGAAGACATATGACTAAATTTAACATTTTAAAATACCCCGTGAATGTGTTTAAAACAGTCAGATTGCTTCACATAGTAACTTATCTTTCTGGGTCTAAAATGTAAAATCTGTGATAATTAAACAATAACAAGTGCTATGTGTTTATTTATTAAGCAAATATTGATTGAATGTCTTCTATGTTCCAGTATAGTCTGCTGGGTGTTGCAGAAGTGATAACAAGACAGAAGTGATTTTTCTGTTAGTGGACCCTATTATCTACATAAAGAAATCATTGGTACTCATATGGAACTATACACATACACATATAGACACACACACTTAAATCAATGAACTATATACTCTAATGAAAATTATGGCATGCATTATCAGATTTTGCCAAAAAATGGTAGAGTAGCATAGATGAGAGTGAGAACTTAAAGAACAAGCAGGATGGAGATGTTGAGATGTGAGCTGGGAGTAAATGAAGGTTTTGTCATTGTGGTCATATTTGAGGAGTATAAAATCCAAAGAAAAAGTTGCACAATTAATGCGAAAGTCTATGTCCTTATCATAATGTTGGATTTATGGGTAATACAGAGTTAATATATGGTCCTTGCCTTTACAATGGTAATGGCAGTGGGGAAGCAAAGAGATGATCAAGCAAAAATAACTAACAGCTAGGGACAAATCCATCAAGAATGTCAGAGGAGGGTCTAAGAGGTAACTGAGACAGAGTGCATGCTTTGCATGTGGGAGGGAGCAATCCCACAAACTAAACAAAACTGAAACAGGACAGTGGTTATGCTTTCAGGCACTTTTGCCTCTAAGGCATGTGTTTTTCTGTAAATAAGGATCAAGAAGTGCAGAAGAAATTATTGTTTAGCCCCCTTCCTCAGTAGTTTAGTTGTAGCAATTCTTGCAATTAAATGTTGGCATTTGATTGCTTCAGATTAGCTGTATTTTGAAACATAATTACAGGCAGCCTCCTTGGGGGTTCCTTCCTAGAACACGTCAACATTGATTTGTAGTAACTCCTTTTCTCTTTGTTCTCACTAGTTGTTTTCTCATGTAAAGACAAATGCGATGGATCAAACCAAATAATAGAAACAAATACTTCACCTTTGATGAGTTTACAAACTAATAATACAGAAGAGGTAATAATATAAAAACTGATATGCTTCGAAAAATTTATAAATGGATTTTTTAAGCAAAGAAAAAACAGATTTAGGTTGAAATAAAAAATTCTGCATTTTATTTTATTCAGTGAAAAAAAGTCATAACAGAAAAGCAAAGCATAAATCTACTTTTGCTAAAAGGTAAAGGTAAAGGCCCTCCCGTTGATCGTCGATTTGCTCGAGCGGACCCTGTAACGCCTCCATTGGAGACCTTGTTGTTACTGTGTCTGGCATATCGAATACTCTCGGTAGCTTGCCGGGCTCTCCGAGAGGGGCAGAGGAATCAAACTCGGGTCAGCCATGTTGGCCGTTTGCAAGGCAAACGCCCTACCCGCTGTGCTATAACAACATATTTGTGTGACTGTATTAGGGGAACATTGACATTTTAAAACATAAAAAGTAAGACCTCTGCTTTAGAAAAAATGAATCCAACAATGTTAATATATCAGATCACAGGGAACTACAGGGAGAGAAAATAACATGAGAGGGGAAAACATTTTTCCTCAGAAAGATTCTTCCCAGGCATTTTCTTCATTTAGGAAATATTTCTTTCAAGACAGAAGCAATAATACGTTGAGTAGGGTGCTTGCCTTCCACACAACTGACCCGGGTTAGATCCCTGATATCTCCTATGGTCCCCATAAATCACCAGGAGCAATTCCTGAGCTCTAAGCCAGGAGTAATACCTGAGCATCGCTGGGTGTGGTCCAAAATAAAACAAAGCAAACAAAAAACCAAGAAATAGTTCCTTCAACAACAATCCCCAATGAAAACAAAACCTGAGACATGTTTGCTAGAATTATTAATGGAAGAGGCTAAGTGAAGGGGAAGGAACCCTAGGATTGTGGTGGAGGGAAATGGGCATAGAATAATAGCACTGAAAATATAAATTAACAATTATTTTATAGTTTACTATTATATGTTTATGTATTTGGTAGTTTACTACAACAGTAAACTATGTTATAGTTTACGATTATAAACTGTAATACCTCAATAAAGGCCAATTTTGAAATGATGGAAAAAAGAGATAGTTCCTTATAATATATGAAGGTTTCTCAAAAACAAAAATTGAAAATAGGACTCCCTAAAATTTGGGGAAAAAAAAGAAAAAGAAAATAGAACTCCTACATGATCTAGTAATTCTACTGTTTGATATTTATTTCAAAAACATAGAACATTTCTTCAAAATGGTACACACCGATGTTTATTGTAGCACGATTTAAGAGTGCCAACATAGGCCAAGAGCACAGTGACCAACCATAGCTGAGTAGAGAATGAAAATGTGGAATATTGATAAGCAAAAGAAAAGGTAAAATTTTGCAATTTGTTGAAACTTGGATGAAACTGAAGGATGGTAAGTGAAATTAATCAGAGAGAGAGAGAGAGAGAGAGAGAGAGAGAGAGACAAAAACACTGGATGATCTCACTCAGATGTAATATACATAAAATATTAAGCAAGGGGATGAAAATTATCCAGTAAAAACGAACCCTTGGAGTCTTATCAATGGAACTGAGTGCACCTAGGAGGGGGTGGGGCTGTCTGGGAAGGGACCCAGGGATAATGGATTACGGATATTGGTTATTTGGTGATAGGTGTAGTGCAGTAACAGAATATGCCTAAAGTACAAATATTCATTTCAAAGGGATTTTTAGAAGAAAATCACCAGAAGTCCACTGTTTAAAAAAAAAACCGAAGAAGAAAAAGAAACATTTTGCTTTAAAGGAAAGCTACATTACTTTGCCCCTGAACCCAGAACCCAGGAGCCAAATGACAGCCAGGATCCAGCAAGACAGGACAGGAAGTGTTGAATTAATAATTCACACTCTCTTTGGAGAAATGCATCTGAATTAGAGTCCAGTACTGTAAATGCTAAATGTTTTTCTTTATCCAAGCAACTGTACTTATACAAGATTTTTCATAAGGGTATTAATTTCCCCTCCCTAGAAGTTCATCATGTTTATACTATTTAATTTTATCTGCATCATTTAATGCTAATATGCTTGGACCAAGATATAAGATGGAAATTAATCTGTGCAAAAAAAAATCCCAAGGGGTGTTATCATATGACATAGTTGTTTGCACCTCCAAAACAAACTACTTGAGTTTTAGAAAATACATCAAAAAACAAATTACATCAACAATTCATGTTTTCATTCTAAAAATGAGTCTTTCAGGAAGTGCCTCACCCCAGAACAAAATGGACTGTACCATACCCTGCCTCTCAGCAGCTCATACGCCGTCACTCCCAGGGACCACCAGTCAACGGCAAAGGAGTAGCCTGCCTCTCTTCTGGAGTTGAACATCTCAGGAGCTGAGAAGACAAAACAGTTAAGCCATTTTAATTTCCGGAGACACTAACAAATCTATATTCCTCGGTAGAGGGTCACAAACAGTATGTAAATGGGGTTTCAGAGCATAAAATCTTTAATGGATGTTTATCATCCAATGCTAGTTTGCTCACAGCAGGCACAAATCTCTAATTTTCTATTTCTCTGAGTGGCCTCATTTGTGTACCAACACAAACAGGCAAGCACAGGCCTTGAGAGACAAATCCTTATTTAGACCTGTACTGCTAGGAATCAGATCCTATCAGGCCTTAAATGTCTGACTGACTCTAAAATCACGAAGCCCAACGAGAAATTATTTGCTTTCTTGATTGGGAAGGATTGAGCTGCAGGGCCTAAATTTGTGCTTGCAATTTGTGCTCTGAATGGTGTGATTTCTACCTTGGAGTGACTCTCCCTCTCATCGGTCTGGAAGAGGCAAGAGCAGATTTTCAGCCTCCTACTGAGTGAGGGATGGGCAGAAGAGAGACATTCAGGAAAACACCAGGTTTTTCCAGCTGTGGAGTTTACACTGTGTCACTCTGTGCTTAGCACAGTCTGCAAGGGAAGACAGAGTCACAGTCTTTTTTATCCCCAGGCTTGACATCTTGTACACACTCTCCAAGCACTACCACACATATGCAAACCTTCTACATACCTTCCCCAGAATAGTGCTAACTGCCAACGGGTCTCGGATACTGAAGCACAAAGTAGCTTTATTAGTGTCCCAGAATTGGACCTGGCATTCAGTTAGCCAACAGAAATTTGTTCAATGAAAGATCAGTACAGAATTAACTCAACCATTATTGAACTGACATTGCATTATAATACTAAGTTTTCATTGTAAATCATTACAAATGAACATGCAACATGATCAATACATAATAAAAAGCCCAATGCCACCCTTTACCATACAGGTGTTCCACTGAACCCAAGTTTATCTACCTACTTCCCTTCTGGCAACCACTAATTTGGTCTCAGAGTTTGAAAGTTTACTTTGGTTTTCACTAGTTCATCTGTTGTATTTCTTTATTTTTCATATGAGTGAAATCATAAGCTGCTTATCTTTCTCCTGTTGACTTGTTTCACTGAGCATACTTTGTAAAGCCATCCTTACTATTGCAAATGACAGGATTTCATCATTTAAAAAAATGGCAGTGTTGGGGCTGGAGCAATAGCACAGCGGGTAGGGTGTTTGCCTTGCACGCGGACAACCCAGGTTCAATTCCCAGCATCCCATATGGTCCCCTGAGCACCGCCAGGAGTAACTCCTGAGTGCATGAGCCAGGAGTAAACCCTGTGCAATGCTGGGTGTGACCCAAAAAGAAAAAAAAATGGCAATGTTCTGTTGTGTCCATTAACCCTGTCTTTACTTTCTCATCTGTATATGGACACAGGATATTTCCAGATTTGGGCTCTTATAAATAATACTTCAATGAACAGGGGAGTACACATATCTTTAGAATTGGTAGAATTTTTTCTTTCCCAAGAATACCCAGAAGTGGGGAAGTTGGGTGATATGGAATTTTTTGGTTTTAATTTTATTTCTTTTTTGGTTTGGGAGTCATACTTGACTGTGCCCACGGCTTACTGGGGGATCACTTCTGGCTGTGTTCAGGGGACCATCCTGGGATTGAACCTGAAATGGCCTCATGCAAGTCAAGCACCTTCACCCCTGTACTCTCTCAGCTTCGAGATTTTCGATTTTTAAAGAAATTTCTATGCTGCTTTCCGTAGCAGCTGTTACCAGTTAACATTCCTACCATCACTCCCCTCACATCCTCTTCAACACTTGTTTCTCCTCTTGGGAATAACAGCATGACCACTCAATTAACCAAGCAATGGTTGCAATCATTAACATTTTACATTCAAACCCTGCCTTCACCCTTTACTGTCCTCTTGAACAAATTGAATACTCCTGAGCAAAATCAGAACAATAAGAGGGCAAACACTACAGAAGAGAGAAATTAGACATGAGAACACAAATTGTCAGCATTGCATGGGGTGTTTAGAAAGTACTGAAAAATAAATAAATAATTAGGCAATCTTCTAGAGACACGAACATCCACAGTGCCACATTTGCTTGTAATCGGGTGCTGTACACAGTTGCCCCATGCCTCTAGCAGTTCAGTGTCAGCCCTGGGCAGGGGCAATCAGTTAAATCCAGGAGCAACATCCATCCTGAGAGGACATTGCCATGGCGGTGCCCAGGCGTGACCTTGACTGTAGGAGCTGCTGGAGCTGCACTAAGTGGCCTCCCGCCCCAGGGAATTCATTTTCATGCCTCACTGCCCCTCTCTGCATGCACAGTGCCCCACAAAATCTGGGAGACACTGGTTCTGCCTGCCAGGGCCGCCGGGCACTGGATGGAAAGGACTATATTTCATTGTTCTCTTGTCAGCATCTCACAGCAGGTCACCTTAAAGGGTGCCCAGGTGACAGGCGACAGACCTGTAATTCAGAGACATTGCAGAAAACTTGAGGGATAAGCAAACCATCATGCCAAGAAACATTGAACATGATCAAAGCTGTGTTCTCTGTCTTCTTTTGTGAGTCTTCCTTTATATCCTCTTCTACTTTTTGCAGAGTATAAAGCCAAGTCATGAATGACAGATGGAGAAATTCGGGCAGAACATTAGGAAAAAGTACATCTCAACATACAGAAGCATAATAGATGGGTAATCCTTGGAAAGCCTGGAAGCTCTCACTTCCCAGAGTAGGGAGATAGTGCAAGCTCTGTCCACTCTTCCAGGGTGCTCCAGCCCTGCAGGCACACATGGAGCTGGAGAAGGACTAAGAGTCCTTCCTAACACCACTGAGTACTTGGTTTGATTTTAAGTGTATTTCTCTGTCTGCATTCAGAAAACTAGAAAGGAACACTAACACATTTGTTTATAAGTAGTTATAAATAAATGTAATAGGTTTAATTACATTTAATACATTATTTTATTACATTTTTGCTTGTTTGGGGGGCACATTGTTTGGAGATAAAGTGCTCAGGGATTCCTTCTGGCTCTGCACCAGGAATCACTCCTGGTAGGGCTTGGAAGACTGTATGGGGTGTCAAGGATTGAACGCAGGTCAAACATGTGTAAGGCAAACATCCTACCCTCTGTACTATCACACACCCCCATTTACTATTTTTAAGTGCATGTTTTATACTCTATAGTTCCCTTCACACACACACACACACACACACACACACACACACACACACACACACACCCCTGTCCTGCCCTATTGGCAACCATAGAAATAGCCACTGTTCTAAATTTTATGTTAGCAATTTTTTTCATTGTGCAAAAATACACAAATTATTATGCATTTTCAGGACCATATAGGTAACATATTAGGCATATGTGTGCATGTACATAAAACATTATGTGGATATGTGTATATATATATGCATACGTATGTGACACAATGTAATATTCTACTCCTGGTCTTCTTTGGTGTCTTGCTTTTCTTGTTCAATATTATGCCTGTAAAAGTCATCCAAGTTACTACAACATAGTCTGCTCACATTTGATACGACAGGAATACACTATGATTTGCCTGTTTATCCTATTGTTGAGTCATTTGGGATGTTTCCAATTGGGGAATATTATGAATAATGTACTTGGGAACATTTGTATATGGAAGACTCCTGTAAGTCCAGGCTTCTGTAAGTTCATTCCTAGGATAGAATTAGTAGAAATGATATGTATGTCTCCATGAATACTAGCTAATGCCCAACTATATGTGAAATAGCTATATGGATTAACAGAGAGCAACAATGTCTGAGTCACCTTTTCTACTGCCTACCTGGTGTTAACTTACCTTCTGTGTCGGTCTAGTGAGTATGTCATGCTCCTTCATCTTTCAGTGGAGCTTAAATGGACATTTCTCTAATTAGTAACAAGCTGGGCCACATTTTAAGAATAGTTATTAATTATTTAAATTCCCATTACTTGGTCTTCAGATTTTAAAACAACAGGACATGAGAAGAGATGATGGATAAAGAAAATATGGCACATCCACACAACAGAAAACTAAGCAATGGTTAGGAAGAATGAAGTCATGAAATTTTCTTATAAATGGATGAATATGGACAGTATAATGCTGAGTGAAATAAGTCAGAAGAAGAGGGACAGATATAGAATGACCTCATTCATTTGTGGTATATAAAAATAGATATAGTAGAAGACTAATAATATACATGGCCAGGAAAAACAAAGGCTAAGAGGACTGGTCAATGGTTGGAATCTACCACAAGTGTGTGTGGGGAGCAGGATAGGTAGGACAGAGAAGGCACTAAAAGGTAGGTAAAGGCCCTCCCGTTGATCGTCGATTTGCTCGAGCGGGCCCAGTAATGTCTCCATTGGAGACTTTGTTGTTACTGTGTCTGGCATATCGAATACTCTCGGTAGCTTGCCGGGCTCTCCGAGAGGGGCGGAGGAATCGAACTCGGGTCGGCCATGTTGGCCGCGTGTAAGGCGAACGCCCTACCCCCTGTGCTATCGCTCCAGCACAAGGAACCTGCCTAACAATTTGATTCATCTAAACTTGCTTACAATCATAAAAGAATCACAAATACTTTTTTAAAAAAACTCTTGTACAGGCAGAAGCTTGATTTTTTTTTAAAGTCTGATAGAGCTTGCTTTAAATTTAGACATTTTCCAGTAGCTTAGTGTCTTGTTTTCCTTGCTGTAAAGTGGTGCTAATGATTGCCTGCCCCATAGGGCTGTTGAGAAAAAATAAATAAGCGAATGATTGTAAAACATTTGACATGTTGTCTGGTGCAAGACAGGCTTTCAATACATATTAGTCATTGCTAATTATAAGGATGGTGGTGGAGAGGTCAGAGCATTTGGACTGGACTCCAATTTCCTAGCTCTGTATTATGAAAAGATGAGAAAAGCCAACTTTGAAGAGAATTAAATTACACAGATCTTGTGTTTGAAAGCACTGGGGAGAGAATGGAAAGGTGACTTCCCTTTACTCCTCTCACCATGGAAACCAGACCTCAAAAAGCCAGATGTACATTCTCTGATTTGACTCCAAGAAAATAGCCCTTAATATGGAAACCCAGGACTCCTAGAGAATAAACTCATCAGAGCAGTCGTCTGAAGTATTTCTTTTCATCATTTGAGGACCAACAGTTTTAGGTAGGAAATAGACTGAATTATGTGTGTCCATTATTTTATAAGTGACAGAGAAATCTCCACCCCACATCCCTGCCATGCCCCAATGGGTAATTGGAAGGCAGGTTGTTCAAATACTATAGAAAATAAGGTTTATTTTCACCTTCCTCTTGGAAAGTAAAGTGGCTTTACATATTGTGGTTCTCTTGTCCTCTCTCTCATTAGCTACAAAGGAAGGAGAATGAAATATATTTTTTAAAAGTTGTATTGTTCAGGTCAGAGAGATAGTACAGTGGGTGGGTGCTTGTCTTGCATGGGGCATACCAAGGTTTGATCCCCAGCATCCCATGTGGTCCACTGAGCATTGCCAGGAGTGATTCCTGAGTGCAGAGGCAGGGGTTACTCCTGAGCATCACTGAGTGTAGCTAAAAAAAAAAAATCAAAATCTACAAAATAACCAAAGAGTGTCATGTTTTTTTCCTTTGATTTCAAGTTTAAATATTTAGTCTGGAACTGATTACCAAATTGGAGAAATGGAGGAAGAGGAAAGGAGAAAAAAAGGACTGGGAAAGGCATATGGTAGAGAGTAATGGGCAATTTGGTGATGGAGGGATGTAGTTTGTATATTAATACCAAAATAATTTTTAATCTATTTTAACTTTATCAATGACAATAATAAAAAACAAGCATTTAGGCTGTGAATTACTGCCAATCTATCACAAGGTAATACAATTAATTCCACCTCTGACTTAATCCTACTAGTTTAACTCATAATTCTGCTGCTTTAAGTATCTCCACAAATTATAGAAGAAGTAAGAATAATTTTTATTTTCTGGTATCCTGCTGGTAACAACAGAGTTTTTTACTAGGAAGGGAGCTCAGCCTGTTACTAAATACCCCTTATCCTCTTTTGCTTATTAAAACAGTTGCTTGAAAATTTAATCTTCTGAATTAAAAAAAAAAAACTAATTGCTGGGCAGGAGAGATAGAGCATAATAGGCTGAGGGAAGCTGAGTTTTGATGTCTGGTACCACATGTCTTCCCCAGCACCACGAGGAGTAACTCTTAAGCACAGAACTGGGAGTAGCCCTTGAGTACTGCAGGTGGGCAGGTGTGGGCCCCCATAAAGCACCAAACAAAAAGACTTATCTCATACATGATTAAATATGATTAAATGACCCCCCCTCCATTGTATATGACCAATCTGAAAAAAATGGAAGTCTTATCTGATTCTTACATGGCTTATTTTCCCTTTTCATAAAAAACACCATCTTTTCTTAAGACTTGGAGGAGGAGGAGGAGGAGAGGAAGCAGAGGGACCACAACACATGTGACTTGTGTGATTTAGTTTAGCTCCTTCATTGGCTGACCTAGTACAAGGACTGCTGCAGAAATTCTTAACCTTGACTGTATGACTGCATTACCTAACATGGTTTCAGATCATTCTGCCCTGGGGAGTCACACCAGATTTTCTAATATTGCTGAACCTTATTGAGACTGCTGGTCTCTCTAAGCAATGAGAACAGGGGACTCCATCCTCTCATACTGCAGTCCCTTCTGCCCCTCACCTAACACCCCACCCCTATGACCCTTGTGAAGTTGAACAACATTCTCTGGGCAATCTACCTCTTTTCCAAATATGTACACACATTCACAATATACACACATACATGTTCACACATACACACTTGCACTCACATATGTGCACAATACTCACAACATACATTTGCCTACTCACAGATAGACTCACGGATATATATATATATATATATATATATATATATATATATGTATTTATACACACACACACACATATACACACCCCTCCATAAACTTCATGCTTATACTCACGTACATTCTCACAACCACATTCAGTTTCAAACACACATTCTCACACACAGGCATACACACATTCTCACACATGTGCACACACACAGAGCTTGTCTATGTCTCCTGTTTCTACTGTCCCCTGCTAGACTTGACTCCAAGTGCTTTATCCTGCCACAGCCAGCTCAGTCTTTATTGGGGCAGGGATCTGCTAGCAAATGTAGTCACTAGACATTGAACCAAGAGTAGAGCAGCAGATCCATCTCCTCACAGTGCCCCCATCCTGCCCAGACTTTCCAAGCAGTTCTCTTGATGTCTGAACCACTTGCCTTATAACAGCAGGAAAATGGCATGCTGTTTCACTCCTGAATAAAATATGACCCCAAAGACAAAAGCTCTCCCTTTCTATTTCAAGGGGTGCATGGGAGTCCCTTTCTAATCCGAGGGGTGCCTGGAAGGTGGGACTTACTCAAATGGAATGAGGTCTATACAGAGTTAATAGCCTTCAATCACAAAATTTAGAATTTATACTCATTTCTAACAGAGATATTATAAATATGAATTTATGGTTTTTTTGGTATGCATCCCTACCCTTATCCTCATTTGCTGGGTAAATCTGGATGAGACAGAGGCTAGTTCTTTATTTCTTAAAAAGGGAACACTTAGAATTGTTATAAAGTGAAAACAAAAATTATGTCTGTTGTTTGCCAGTCAATGCCTCTTTTGCAGACCACAACACCCAAAAGGAGAGAGAGAACAAAAGGGAATGCCCTGCCACAGAGGCAGGGTGGGATGGGGGGGATGGGGGTGGGAGGGATATTATCCATGGTGTGGAAAATGGGCACTGGTGGAGGGATGGGTATTTGATCATTGTATAATTGAAACCCAAGCACAAAAAATTATAAATCTACAACTGTAAAAAAAATTATGTCTGCAAGAGATTTTGTACACTTTATAGTCCTGTGCATGGTAAAAGTAAAGTAAAGGTCCTCCCGTTGTTTGTCGATTTGCTCGAGCGGGCCCAGTAACGTCTCCATTGGAGACTTTGTTGTTACTGTGTTTGGCATATCGAATACGTCACGGGGAGCTTGCCAGGCTCTGCCGTGTGGGCGAGATACTCTTGGAAGCTTGCTGGGCTCTCCGAGAGGGGCGGAGGAATTGAACTCGGGTCGGCCAAGTTGGCTGCGTGCAAGGCAAACGCCCTACCGCTGTGCTATCACTCCAGCCCCCTGTGCATGGTATACGGAATTATATAATAACACTATAATAACATGCACAACCATCCCACATATTGCTGTGTTTTACCCTGATTCTATTTGTTAAAAGTCTTCTCACTAGTGTGTATCTCTGTTATCTTAGAGACCTTTGTTCACTATAGCTTACAGTGCTTGAAATAGCCCCAGAAAATAATGGTCACATTAATTAATACTACCCGTGATGTACTTGATATGCCAAAAATAGTAACAACAAGTCTCACAATGGAGACATTACTAGTGCCTGCTCGAGCAAATCGATGAACAATGGGAAAACAGTGCTACAGGGCTACAGTGTTTGAAGGTGGGGAGACACTGTCTTAAATAAAACATAGTGTTTTAAAAATGTAATCAATGATTCTTCTAAGTTAAGGTGAAACTAAGGACTTATAAATAGAAAATTCGGAGGCTCACTTCAGAGCCGCTAAATCAGAGTTCCCCCCATGAAGTCCAAAGGGGACTTGGCATTTCTACCTTCAGATAACTTCAGATGACCGAACTCATAAAAACAGAGCACACACTTTCCGTCCAGTGTGTGAGGTCTAGGTTCGAGCCCCCAATACTAGGTGGTTTCATGAACACCACCAAAAGCCACTGGTGAGCACAGAGCTGAAAGTAGATCCTGAGCATTACTAGGTGTGATTCCCCCACCACTCCACACCAAAAACAACAACAACAACAAACAAACAAACAAACCCACAAATGGTGTCTGCAGGAATGAAAAACAAATGCCTTACTCCTGGTCACTACTGCAGCTACGTATGAAGCACATACCCATGTAAGGCTTGGTGCCAGCCATGGTGGTGATCCGCATCTCCTTGGTCAACATGGCAGCAATGTTGAAGTCGGTGATGTGTGCATGTCCTGGAGAGAGAGAAGGATCACAGAAAGCATTAAGTCTCCTCTGTGTATTCATCAAATAAATGTGCTCTCCTTGCCAGGTGCCTTTGGTGACCATGAGCTGCTTCCTCACCCTGGCCTGCAGTTGCTGCTAACAGACACATGACGGAGGGAACAGTGCAGCCTGTTATTTATAAGTTGTATGACACTTGGCCTGTCCCGTTTCAATACCAGGGTAGCTCATAGCTTGCTCTGAGTCCGTTCAGTCCCTTCATTGGGACCCTGCTTTAGGGATGCTAAGAACTAGGGACAACTGAGGCTTAAGTCGAGTAAATATGACAGATGCCCAGGAGAAAATACTATCCAGAATCAATTAACTGCCAAATTACAAAAGCACAGCATTAACTGTCTTCTTGTGTCTATACAAAAAGCACATTGCTCCAAAATAAACTATGCAAAGGGCATAAGGGAAAGAGAAAAGCAATAATTCACTTTCAAATACAAAATTCAGAGTCCTAGAGGGATCTGACCTTATAAGTAACAGGTTCTGGTTAGGGAAAATGAGTGATTAACAGATAGAGAAAGCAGAGCACAGAGAAGTTAAAGATGAATACCAAGGGAATGAGAGTGCTTTGGGAGCACTGTGATGGGTATAACTCAATAAACCTAAGCTCCTTGTGGCAGAGGAGAAAGAGCAAACCAATGGTATCCTACACCCCCCAACCCAGAGGCACCCTGCTTCTAATCAAAAGCATCTGGAATCTATCTGCCAATTGTGTATGCTGTTGCAATTGGGAACAGGCAGGAAAAGCTCAATTAATTCTGCCCTGGAGATTAATATGATCTTAAAAGCAGCAATATTCCAGCATCTAGAACATAATTTGCAAAGGTTAAAGTATCCTTATAAAATTGCAGTTCAACCTCAGAAAGTTCTGGCCTTGGTGGAAAAAAACCTATGTTTCCCTAAATCTTCTTAGGCAAAAATTTCAACATTTTGAATTGGTATAACCTATAAGAATCAAGACAGAGTCAGTCCACAGGTCCATGCAATGGAGAAAAAAGAGAGACTATTCAACAAATGGTACTAAGAAAACTGTAATCCACATACAGAAGTTCAAACTTGATCATAATTTAACAACAACTCTGAAAATGAACTCAAAATGAGATTTCAATGTCAGAACTGAAACAATCAAATAAGAAAACATCCCAGGACATCAACATCAGAGATATATTCAGAGATTCAACCCCAGGGAGCAGAAAAACAGATGAATAAACAAATGTTATGAGTTCTTAAAAGCATATAAATGCAAATCCTATATGATCTAACAATACTACTGCTAGGCCTTTATCCAAAGATACAAAAGCACAAATATGAAAGGTTATTCGCACCCCTATGTTTACAGTGGCATTACTCACTATAGCTAAAACACTGAATCAACTTATATGATCATCCACAGATAGGACTGGATAAAGAGGCTCTCTAAACTCCTGGGAGGAGCTAGGAAAAAGAATGGTGAATAGGGTGCTTGACTAGATGTGCCCCACCTCGTTTCAATACCTGGCATCTCGAGGTTCTCCAGCATCACTGGCTGTAGTCCTGCCTGGATAACCCTGAGTATCACTGTGTATGGCTCTAGAGGTCCCATATATTGTTATAATAGCTAAGGCATCCCAGTTGCACTGCAGGGACTGAGCAACATCACATGCTTGGTTCCCTCTGTGAGACTGAGGGTCCTAGCTGGGGCCCATGAGTCTTCAGAGCACTGCTTGCGAGCCCTGCCCCCCTAGGAGCTGTGGGAAATATATACTCAATGGAATACTATTCTACCATTTAAAAAGAGTGAGTCTTTTGGACAAAATGAAGAGAGTTCCCCTGACCTCACAGGTAAGATTTGATTTTACTTTTTTGTGAAGCAGGATAGTTTTTAATGAGAAGGAATGTACTTAAAAAGATAGGAGGGGAGAGAAAGAAACACTTACTTAAGAGAGAACACAGGCTTCTCCTGAGTGTCAAAAATGAGAGAGAGATACATGTTTATGAAAGAACAAAGGTTTGAAAGAGCAAGTAAGTAGACAAACCGACAAGCCTGGATGACTTTTGGGAGAAGATTATATACAATTCCTCCAAATTGTCTTGGCCTGGAGTTCTCTGCATATATAAAAGTTAATCTGGGTATTGAATTTGAGGTGATTTTGTGAACTGATATAAGTAAGATACTTAAGAACTGATTGAGCATTAGAAATGACTGAAATAAGAAATGAAATACAATTATCAGATGGTTTCACTCCCATGTGGAGTATGAATTTCTAAAGCAAATTAATTTATAGGAAACAATCAAAAAGACTCCTAGATTCAGAAAAACTATGGCGGCCACGCGACATCTTATCAGGACATCTTTTTATGACATCTTATTATCTCATTCCTACTTTGGACAATCTTGCAGGCTATCGAATGTAGCCTGCCCACAGGACAGAGTCTGGCAAACTCCCCGTGACATACCAAATATGCCAAATACCAGTAACACTGATGGGTCTCATTCTCCTAAAGAGCCTTGAATATAATTTCAGGGCTAGGATGAAAGAGACGTTACTGGGGCCTGCTCGAGGCAATCGATGAATAACAGGTTACCAGAGAGAATGGTAAGGTATATGACAGGGATGAACAGAGGGTTCTCCTTTGTGGAGGAATGAGACTATAACTTCAGTGGTGGCAGTAGTAACAAGTATAAACACATAGTTGTGAAGCTAATCTCTGAAATTCCATAATATTGAAATCCATGATCTGTTCATGTCACTGTCACCATCCTCCCGTTGTTCATCGATTTTCTCGAGCAGGCCCAGTAACATCTCCATTGGAGACTTTGTTGTTACTGTGTTTGGCATATCACATACATCATGGGTAGCTTGCCAGGCTTTGCCATGTGGGCAAGATACTCTCGGTAGCTTGCCGGGCTCTCCAAGAGGGGCAGAGGAATCGAAACTGGCTCGGCCTGGCTGGCTGCACACAAGGCAAAAGCCCTACCACTGTGCTATTTTTTAAAAAATGAAAACATTTTGGGTGAAATGTCTAGAAAAAAATGGAACAAGTGGATTATGTGAAAATCCTATTGTTAATTTTTTATATTAATTTATTGAATCACTATGGGAAAAGTTACAAAGCTTTCAGGTTTAAGTCTCAGTTATACAATGATCAAACACCTTTCCCTTCACCAGTACTTATTTTTCACCACCAAGAACCCAAATATATGCCCCCTACCACCTTTCCCAATGCCTGTGAGGCAGACGATTTCTACTTAACTCTCTCTCTACTTTGATTACATTCATTATATCAACAAAAGCTGCACCATTATTGTTTAGAATTTCCACCCAACAATCAGAACTGCTGAAAAGGCATTGTGAAATAATTTGTTTTCTATAGCTGGTTATGAGAACCATATGATTTTGGATTTCTGATATTTTACTAATTAAGTCTGGAAGGATTTCTGTCAAGAGACAGATAATTATGAGATTGGTTTCTGTGCCTCTGGAGCCATGGCTATGCTGGAAAGCCACTCGTGGGGGGCAAATCATGGCCTCGGTAGGGCGTGAAGGACAAGCCAGTACTTCCCCCCTTCCCATAAGGCTGCAGTTGCCCCATCACCTCCGGCTCATACCTGGCTTTCTAATAAGCTCTGAGCCAGCGGTCGCCTTGCTGCTACGCGGGGGGTGGGGTAGAGGGCGGAAGGGAGAGACACCCCCTTTCCATCCCGGGGAGGCATGGCACTGTAGTTTTTCTTATGTAAATTTTCTTTTATTTTTTTATTATTTTTTTTTATTGGTGAAACACCATGAGGTACAGTCATAGACTTACAAATTTTTGTGCTTGGGTTTCAGTTATATAATGATCAAAGCTTGAGAAGAACTGGCCATCCCTCCACTAGCGCCCATCCTCCACCACACGGGTCCCAGCATCCCTCCCACCCCACGTCCCCCCATCCCACCGTGCCTCTGTGGCAGGGCATTCCCTTCTGTTCTCTCTCTCTCCATTTGGGTTCTGTGGTTTGCAAGAGAGGCACTGAGATAGCACAGCGGGTAGGGCATTCGCCTTACACTCGGCCAACATGGCCGACCCGAGTACGATTCCTCCGCCCCTCTCAGAGAGCCCAGCAAGCTACCGAGAGTATTCGATATGCCAGACACAGTAATAACAAAGTCTCCAATGGAGACGTTACTGGGCCCGCTCGAGCAAATCGACAATCAACGGGAGGGCCTTTACTTTACTTTACTACATGTTTGGTCTATAGTCTACTTTCAGCATGCTTCTCCCATCCTGGGAGGATCCTCCCAACACCCTTTATTTGGTGCTCTCTTCTCTATCTGAGCTTCCTTTTCCCCTAGCATGTGTGGCTGGCCTCCAAGTCATGGAGCAAAATTCCTGGTACTAATCTCGGCCACTCCTGGGTGTTAGTCTCCCATTTTGTTACTTTAAGTTCCCCAGATGAATGCAATCTTTCTGTGTCTATCCGGTTCTTTCTGACTCATTTCGCGTAACATGATACTTTCCATGTAGTACCACTTGTATGTAAATTTCATGACATCATCTTTTCTAACAGCTACATAGTACTCCATTGTGTAAATGTACCAGAGTTTCTTTAACCAGTCATCTGTTCCTGGGCACTCAGGTTTTTTCCAGATTCTGGCTGTTGTAAAGAGTGCTGCAATGAACAAACAAGTGCAGTTGTCACTTCGACCATACGTTTTTGCCTCTCTGGGATATATTCCCAGGAGTGCTATTGCTGGGTCAAATGTGAGCTCAATTTCTAATTTTTTGAGAATCATCCATACTGTTTTCCAAAAGGGCTGAACCAGTCAGCATTCCCACCAGCAGTGAAGGAGGGTCCCTTACTCGCCACATCCGTGCCAGCACCGGTTGCTTTTGGTCTTTTGGATGTGGGCAAGTCTCTGAGGTGTGAAATGATATCTCATTGTTGTTTTGATCTGCATCTCCCTAATGATTAATGATGTAGAGCATTTTCTCATGTGCC